ATCTCCTTCTTCGCACCCGCAGGCTGCAGCAGCTCAAAGACGAAGGCCGGCGGCATCTAAAAGGAAGGCCTTCAAATGTCTCGACGCACGACTTCGTAGGCAGTCCGGGCAACATGCTTCCCAAGCAAGGAAGCTGTGCCGAGCAGCCGGAAGCCTCACTGGCGGTGGCGGTAGCGCTGTTGGCATGTTGCCGCTGAGGCCGTGGTGTCTTGTCTGTGGCACTGCTTTCGGAACAGTCTGGGCTAAAGCAGTGTCCCGGGCCCCAGCTCTAGCACTTCCACGGAGAAGATGGCCCAAGTACTGCCGGACGCATGGACGACATGCTGATCAATGGCAGGCTCCACATCTCAAGTTGTCGCAGCCGGGATATTATGCGCGAAGCCAAACATGGATGCTTGGATGCCTGTGCCATGTTCTGTGATTTCTGTGCGATGCAGAGGGTCACGCAAGCTTGCTGTGAGACTGTCTATGACTCATGTTATGCTTTGGGGGAGGACTGCCCATGTGGTATTGACTGGCATTCACAGCAGTGTGTCGTGCTTGAAGCTGCGAAACTACCGAACTGGCTGGCACTCCACAAAGCCGGAAGCCCACACCAAGACGGCCGGCGAGAAGATGTGACAAATGGCCCGAAAACCTGGTTCCGAGTGACATGCCGAGCTCGTGCCGCCCGTGGAACCCATCAATGTCCTGGCCACCCGGTCATATTCTCGACCCTGTGCCCGTCCCGGACATTGCCCGCTTTACTTGGCGCCTACTTGAGGGTTCTGTGCGATGGTCAAGTCACGCATTGAGGTCCGTCAGCATGCGGCGCGAGCTTCTGGAATCTGCAAAGTGTTAAGTGAAGGTTTAGGTTTAGAGGGGCTTTCCAAATGAGTCCATGTTGCGGATACGGTCTCAGCGCGAACTCGGTCCATACTGAGCTCATTCATTCAAGGGCAACAATAACAAGGCCTTAGCAAACCACCGTTTTGTCCAAAGCTGTGCAATAAGGAGCAAGGAGATGAACGTCTGCAAGGGTTGAATGAAGGCAGGAGCTGAATGGCTCAAGACTGCTGCGAAGGGTGGGACTGACTCGGCTGCGTTCCGAGATCCGCGCTGGGCAGGAGGACTCGACCAGCGGACGAGGAGAGAGTCAGGCAAAGGAAGCAGCCGGACTCTGTGAGGCGCAAGGCAAGACGGGAGCAGCACTAGTGGGGCTTGTTAGAGTGCCTCCGTCTGGGCTGGGGCGGCTCCTGCCCAACGGCACAGTGCCGCGCCATCAGCAGCTGTCGAGGCCCCTCTGCGATGAAGCAAGGGGCTGGCATCGTCAAGCTGGCTCCTGCACATAGCCTTGTGGACAGTCTACAAGGTCACTTCGGCACAGTGAAGGTTGCAAAAGAGGCCACAGTGCCAGAAAGCTGGGAGCATGGCTGCGGCTTAAGACAAAGACCAGCCCGCAAATGACAGCGTCGAGAGCTGAAGCTTGAACAATTGCCTAGCCTCGGGGGAACCCGAACCTCTGAGAGACTGATCATGAGCTGCCCTGTGAACGACATTTGAGGTCTGATCCAACTTGCTGTCCCAAGGTCCGCATGGTCCAACAAGCCTTCGCTAGCAAGCGCCGAACCCCAGGGGCAGCTTCGGGTGCCTGGGCAGGATGTGCAAGACATCACAATCTCTGCAGTCCGCCCTGGGCCATGCCCTCGCGGGGCAAGGAAGAGCTTGTTGTTGACACGAGAATGTGATTGCAACAGCCCCGGGGGCGTGCCAGAACCATTGGGTGGAAACACAATTCGGCTTAGATTTTTAAAAGACAACGACTTCCATCGTCTGCGAAAGCTGATCTGAAATCTCTGCCGTCCAAATTCTGTGAACACCTTTTGGCCACAGCCGTTTGTCTCGGAAAAGTGTCAGTCCTCGTGCTTGCTGCCTCTGTCGCGACAGTTGCCTGGAGCTCTGAATCCCACAAACAGCGTCTGGCACTTAGGTAAGGTGCGCAGGACACCATAACCTCCGCAGTCTGCAGTGATTTCCCGAGGGGAACAGTTTGTAATCAACACGGAACTATCCCGACAATGCACCCCTGCAATTGCCTGAAAATATGATGCAAGCAGCAATTGGCACAGGCCACTTGTATCGGAAAACGTCAGGCCTGGAATCTGTTAGGGGTATGCCTGGCAAGTGCGCCTATGGTTCACACAGATGCCCGGCCCGCTAGAAAACTAGGGCCGATGCGAACACCATGTGGCAAAAGGACACTTGTCCCAGAAAGTCTCAGGCCTGGAATGGGTTATGTAGGGTACTCCTGGCAAGTGCACTTTTGGTTCACACTGATGCCCGGCCCGCTAGAAAACTGGGGCGTCTCGCTGGTGCGCCAAGGCTACACACGCGCACGCCCAACTGAAACGGTCCTTATAAAGCCTTCCCGCTGCGGCCACAAATTATGTGAAAGGGTGGGCTCAAAGGTATTCAATGGTGCCACATGTCGCTGACTTGCAAGTTGGAGTCAGCTGGAGGAGAGAATGCGAGATGCAGTGTCGATAAACACGAACTATTGCACGTCGCACCTCGGACGTCTGCCGCCCGAACTCTGTGAACGACATCTGCAGGCTGTCTCTCTCTCGGCCGTGTCATCATCAAGAGTCTCGCATCTGCGGGCTGATAGACATTATCTGAGCCCATGAGGTTCTTGAAGTCTTGCACTTGGTGACTCACACCTCTGATGTCCACGCTCTGTGAACACTTGGCCAAGGCCGCCCATGGTCTGTCTCTTCCTCCTTCATGATTCCAATCAGTGAAGGGCAGCTCCGGTTCTATGCCCGATCGCCTCGGCTACCAGAAGACAAGCGCTCAGGCGGAGCGAACTGAGACAACCGCAGCACGCCTCCATCGTGTGAAAACTCGTCTTTGCTTGGAAAGCTATCTCACTGCCACGATCCGAACGTCCGGCGAAACTCCACTCTCTGTATTGAAGACCCTTCGTGAATCCTTGTCATGGGTTTCGTGTTCACATGCCTTCAGTTGCGTATGTGACACAACCCAAGCGGCTCGAAGCTCGTCTGTAGTAGAAGATGAAGATTTGCAAAAACATGCATGCGCCTGCGAACCACAACCCGACATGGATGAGGCATTTGATTTGACAACATGCAGCTTATCAGCGATGTCATCTCCCCATTCTCCCCTTGATTTGGCTGGATCGACGTTTCGTTTTTGCGCTTTCCTGCATGCATAGACATGTCCCGGCCGAAACTAGACGAAGCAAGCAACATCAAATATGCAAGCCCTGCCAACGACTAGCCTCTGCGTGGTGCGGGCGACTTCCAGCCGGCAGAGGTGTAGCGTCTTTGTGAGCACGCGGGCCTGCACCACTCTGCATCACAAAACCTTCGCATCGACTCCAACGCCAGGAAAATCAGGAGAATGTGGCGTGCATCTATTCGGCTCGGCAACTTGTGGCCAGTGCAAACAGAGTCACCCCTCTCAAGTCTGACGATCTACAAAACAAGACCAAAAGAAACTGCTGGAGCCGTCACATTGCCGGAAGCGGAGATTCCCGCAGCTGCTATTGCTTTATGGCGGCGGCTCAGGATTTGATCTCCAAACGGACGCCCTCCTTGGAGCTGTAGACCGTGCAGCAGCGGGAACATCCATGGCCTCGTTTGAAATTGGCTTTCCATGCGTGAGGCCACTCACCCCAAACACTCGAAGTAGTGCCTTCGGTCAGGTTATTGGTAAATCTGATGAATCAGGGAACCTCCGATCATGTAGGGAATACCCATCTCGCGAAACCAATCTACGACCTTTGCTCCTGCTTCACAGCAGCTCGTCTTTAGTGCTGAACTTAGTTATCTAGACTGTGGAAGCGCACCAGACCCACGTGCACTCCCTCGCCTTTCCTCAGAACTCACACTCCGCAGATTCCAACTTAAGGCTAAAGAGTGCAGATCCATGCAGCACCGGTCCCACTAGAGAAGGCGCTTGCTTCTTGGTGGACAGAGATGAGAATCGCCCCTGGGGACAGAAGGCCCAAGAGTGCTTTTCCCGACTTCTGCTCGCGGCGATCTCCAACTCGGCAAGCTCCGACAGGCGGCAAAGGTGCCCGAGTCAGGGGCCAGACCGCTCTCTGGAAGTCTCTCAAGGAATCCCTTTTACACGGAGGAGGAAAGACGCTTCCTAAGACTTCCAGATGGGCCGGGGGCCGGTTCGAAGTGTACCAGGGATCCACCTGAGAGGCTGAGTTGTGTCCCAAAACGTGGACGAGGAACCTCGAGCTGAGAGTATGCCTCGTCCACGCATCTCCTGGTTCACAGGCATTATGGACTATGTACAAGTTTTTACATCATGTACAGCTGCTGACAGACGGTATTTGGACTGATGCATGTCAAACTGAATTCGGCCGAGTTCTCGGCCCTCAACAAATTGGCAACCACTTCCGCAGTGAATTCAGCAAAAACTTTGCATATCTCTGGGCATCGCGGGCAGCTCCAAAATCGCTAGATGCCGGAGTCACGAGGAGAAGCGAAACTCAACTAAGGATTGGATGTACGGTTTGGGTACTCTGAGCGGTCAAGGGTCGAACTGCAGCGGTACTTGTAGCTTTGGCGGTGGTACTTCTGATAGTCTGGACGTTGGATCATGGCTCCTCCAGACCCCGTGCCCCGCGAAAAGAAACCTGCAACCAGGCAAATTCGGCCAGTTGCTCGCCACAGTAAACGTGGCCAAAACTGCAGAAAGTGCGACCACTGTCGGACCAAACCCTGTTCGCCTTCAGAGAGACACAGGCACCTTCCCTAAAGCCTGTCAAAACACACCCATCTCTCCAAGCAGACGGAAGGCCAGCGTGACACTCCCGGGAGGCTTCCCAGCAGCGGATTTCCGCACCAATTCGTTAGAGCGACAAACACCGGCAAAGGGACTGCCCTTGCCAATCACCCGCCAAGGCCCCTACGAAGTTCCTATAGTCGAACTAGCTCTTGCTACGATTTAGAGCTGCTGTGGTGGGGTAGTCCCTTAGCCAATCAAAAGCTCCCTACCAATACCTTGGCAAAAAAGTTGGCACATGTAACGAGATCCAAAACGGGCAAGCCACTGACTCGGCGCAGTCTGGCGGCATAATGGGGTAACTCCGTGCACTCCAGGACGATCATCTTGATGAAGGCGCCATCGCCTTCAGCAAGGATCTCCTGCCACGACTGCCGATTAAACCAATTCAAGCTTAAGGCCACCGGTGGGTCTCACACATAGAGGACACCCCAGCCTCAACAAACTGGCTGAGGCTGTTTTCCACTTTCTGAGTGTCCACTTGCTCCATCTTGGCCACGGCCTCGAAACCTATCTCACAGGGGCTCTCGAGCGCTCCTTCTGACGGGATTCGATGGGGAAGCATTGTGAAGCGCGTTCTAAAATTCGGCCTGGCACATCCTCGCATCCTCTCACCACGATCTGATCCAAAGCCATGTTGCAGCACTCTGCGCGCAGCAGGAGCTCCTCTACGCAGAAGGCAGGTCCGAAAGTCTTTCCCTCCTGCCCACCCATCCGCGAGAAACATCCCTCAGTAATGTGCACCTATCCGCCCGTCTTAGAAAGACTCCGGTGGACAACTCTTGAAAGAGACGAAAGTGTGATTTCGAAGCTGCAACACTGCAGTCCAATTACTGCAGTTGCTCTCGAATCTTCGCCAGCAGTCCAGATGAGCATATAACACACACACACACACATATATATATATATATTGCCTGGAAATGTTCAATGCATGTGCGTTCTGCTTTGTATGGGGTTTACATTCTGATGTTCATCCCCCCACTTCTTTCCGTTAGCTGCTTTCGTGGAATGGGGGGTTGAGAAGGATTTTGCCGTGGATGACTGACGATTCTGAACATTCGACAGCCCTTTCTTGACGTATGCCGTCTGACCGCTTATGGAAGGTGGCTAGGAATGAAGGTCAACACTGGAAGTTAGGTAGCCAGTGGTGTTCGGACAGGCAGAAGATTGCACAGCTGGTTATTGTATAATTTTGAGTTACGGCTTCCCGCTATGAGTTTGTTAAGCAAAGAAACCCTTTCTTATACCATATTATACTATATACCTTGTCAGGCAAGTCTTCTCTGCAGATATGAGCCTTAGCTGACTAAACAGCACCACGGAGCCAACCTTTTATGCAGGCCATGCGCCTCCAGAACCAAAAAGTGCCAGCTTGACAGACATGACTCATGGATTGACGCCCCAACCATCATTCCTTTCACTTCTAATCTGCTATGAGACAATCGTGGCCGTTTGTCGTAGTTTCTGCAGAGATCGAGCTCATGCAAGCAGGAACGGTGTCATTCCGCCGCACAACGCAATTAACACAAGTGCTCCCCAACTCAAATTGTTGATAAGTCCAGATCCATCCTTCCGCGCTTGAGCGCAAAGCAGCACGACGTCCCACTCCCCAGTGCAACACAGCACGGAAGTCATCAAATGTTGCACACTACGAGCGCTTCTCGCCCTTGCAAAGGAGCGCAACATGTCCCTTGCAAAGCTTACAGCCCCGAAAGCACCACAAAGATCCGACTCAACTTCAGGGCTCTGCAGCCTGCGCTTCCCGAAAGGAGGTCTCATTGGCAGTGAGGATCAAGATCCTGGTGACTGCGGAAGAGATTCCATGATTCGAGGAAGAGATTCCATGATTCGAGGCTGCAGGTTTGTCAAACGGAAGATCACACGGTACACGAAGATGCACACGTGTACTCTGTCTTAGAACCTTGTCAGGCTGTATCTAAAGTCAAATCTCCAAAGTCTTTACTCCGGATAGTGTTTCTCTAGCTCTACGATCTCTTTCAACCACAATCCAAGTCCAACTTTCAGGGTGCAGGACCCAGCAAGCCGAGAAAACCCGGGCAAACGCCTGTCGCGAGGGTCGAGGGCCGCAGCCATCGTGGGCACTTGGACCAGGGCACTCAGAAACACGGGCACGCTGACAGCCTCCCTGACCAACGCCTGCACGACCGGCATTGGGGGATGGCTTGAGGACACCCGTCTCCACCTAAGTCCTACAAGTCCAAGATTGCCCCAGCCCGCTGCGTAGCTGTTTGATGGCTAAAGTCGGCTTAAGGCTTCGGCCTGGTAGAATTGCATGAAGCCGCAGTTCCCCGCGATGCCGAAACAGTGCGCCGTTTCCATCTCCTTGGCCGCCTGCCTCAAGCTCTCCAACATCACGGGCTCCTGTGCTGCTGTCTGCGCCTTCTCGAAGCTCAAGCCTGCTGAGGGGTGCTGCCCTGGACCCTGAAGATCTGCTTTCGTGGGTTACTCGGCCTTTACCGTTCCTACCATGAAAGTCTCTCGGCTACAGCAAAGGGTGGATACTAGTAGCTAATAACCAAAATAGTGCACCCAACAGGCGTTCACAGAATGCAGCCAACCAGGTGCCTTGCCCAAACATGAGTTGTCTGCCTTCCGTCACAGAATGGAGCGAAACGCGCTAGTATGTGTGAATGCGTGGTCCTGCGCAGTCAATCTCGAATAGGGCATGTATGCGTGCATGCACTCTCCTGGCAAGAATGCTGTGCGGGCATTGAGCTGGCATTTCTTGGGCAGGTCATGCTTGATCGGGAATGTCGAGGGCAGGGCTGTTGCTGTGCGGTAGTTTCTGGAAGGGCTTGTGCGAGCATTTTCCACAGAGAAAGCCCGGCCCCTAAGGAGAATGCCCCCCACAATGCCTGCACGGGCACCGGACTGTCCAGGAAATGCCAGCACAACGCCCGCACAGGCCAATTCTGGTGCATGCAGCTTCGTTTCAGCGCATTTGTGCGTCCATTCTTGTGCCTTCACATATTTCTGTTGACAGCCTGGTGGTGTGGTGCGTCCATTCTTGCGTGGGCATGCTGGGGCTCTGTAGGTGCGTTCTTGACTTCTGCCGCAGTGGCTAGAAAGATTGTCATAGTACTACCGCCCAACCTTGTGCCACGCGCGGATTGGTCTGGAAGCTGAAGGTGCTCTCATGGTCAGCGTCGCCCACGGCCCGCACGTACTCATACGAGTCCAACTGGACGAGTCCCAGCTGGCCTTCTGTCACCCGGCCTCGAACGGAGTTCTGACCTTTCAGAGTCCCAGAGCTGCACAGAGGCAGACCCCCTGTCAAGTCTGAATGACCAACCGACTAGCAAATCTGCTGAGCAGAAAACGGCGAGGGGCCGTTGCCAATCCGTTGCAGCTTGTCCTCCAAACGACCCAGGACGCTGGCTTCGCTGAACTCGCTCAGCGAGGAGGCAGCACTGAAAAGGCCCATCATGGACACCTGGCGGTGGAGTTCACGTTTCCCTGCTGGCCGACTTCAAACAATTTGCTATGCCCCATCAGGAGACAAACCTGTGGCTCAAGTTGCTTGTATTCCGACATACAACGCTCCACGGAAAGTCTTGAGTCGTATAAGCTGACGGGGCGGGGGTGCAGACCAGGGCAAAAACCGCAGCGACCCGAATCACTTGAATCATGTCTCAGAGCACGCAGCTACTGCCTCAGAAGAATTAGAGTGAATGACTGCTTCTCAGAATACCGGAGTGGATGACAGCCTGTTCGACGTACTGTACGGACTGTCCCTATTTCCGCAGAAACCAAATGGCTGCTGAGCATTGCTGAGCCCGGTAGCCAGAAGCTTGAGAGCAAAAGACGTTAGCAAACAAGTTCGTTGCATACACCGCGCGAGCAGACCGTCCAAATGCTAGCCGAGATCATAGAATGAAATGTATGTTCTTCAAACCCTGGCTGTCACTTGTTTCATGCGACCCGCCTCATCAAAGACGGGCAGCTGCGTGGCATTTCTCAAGCCCTTGCTGAACCGGCTCAATGCACCGTCCACAAGGATGCTGCTAACAGCGACGTCCTGTCGGCAAATTCGGCTGCCGTTGTCGCTCTCAGGGGGGGGGGGGGGTTCTGGGGTTGCAAAGCTCTGCGGCACTCCTTGCGAGACAACTCCGCCAGCCTGATCTGCACCCTTTCCACCAAGTCCAACAAAAGAGGGGCCTGGGCCTGCTTTTGGTCCGGGAAAGAGGACCACGCTGACTCTGGCTGGGAGGCGCGAACTACAATGACCTCCACCTGGCCGTCGATGCGGATGTTTGACGATGCTTCTAGCCAACTGAGCTCGGAGACTGAAGCATCTTCCCATACGACCAGCAGTGTAGCATCCACGGTTCTGAAGCATGTCCGGATCAAGGGCAGTTGCACAAGTGGCGTCGTCAGCACCAGCCAACGTGGAACAAGCTGGCGTAGGGCGTGCTGATGCTTCATCCACAGATAACCCAGGTCGACAGTGAGGCCGGCAAGAGGCCGTTGTCCTTCAATGTCGAGGGTGTAGACTGTGGAAGAGACTTCGGGGGCATGTCTCTCTGGTGAAAATTTCGGATCCAGCCTTGACAGAGGCGAAACAAGCTGGCCCGGATGGATGCAAGGGCCTCCTCATCGAGATGATCGCTCCTGCTGGCGCGCACTCTGCATCGCAAATCGCAACAAATGCCACTCTCCCTGCAAGCTGAACACAAAAAGCGCCTCTCGTGTCCCTCCGGAGGCTCCTGAGCCTCGCTCGGGTAATCCCACGGCAGACGATGCGGTGCCTCGTCAGATCTGTCCCGTCCACGTCCACCTGCCAAAACAATCGCGAAGAGGAGTGATTTTTTTTGATACCACTGCAGATTTCCTTTCAGTGTCGTGTGCGCCTCGACCAAGTCTGCCTGAGTCAAGCCGTCGTCCACACACAGCACGCCGAAGACCTTCTTCATGGAGGCCTCTCCGCAGTGGCCCGTTTACGTTCGAGGACCCTCCCAGCCCCACAACGAAGGCCCAAGACAAGCTGAGACCTGCTTTACAAGGCCAGGCTCCCCTGATATGCCCGCCCCGGCGGTCGCCTCGCGGGTCCTGCGGGCGGCCTCGAAGATGCGCCTGCGAAAAGCGCCCTTCGTGCACTTCTCCTTCTGCTGCTCCTGGCTGCACAAATGAGTTTTTCGGCTTCGGCTTTGGACATGGCGGCTGTGTTGAGCAGCTCAGCACCCTGGCCTGGATCACGTTGGCGTCGGAGCGCCACTCCGCCACATTGTTGATCTCGGACTCAAGTTGCCCCTCCAGAGTTTGCTCCTCCACCCGAAGCCCCCATGGCTTCGTTGTCGGTTTCCCGTTCATCATCTTGGAAAGCCCATAAAGCTCACCAGAAGGAGGCGTTGAGATCATCTTCCTGTCCGTCTGCACCTCCGAGTCGGTGTCCGACCATCCCATCCATTCCACCAGCTCTGGAAGCAATCCTTCCCCAAGGTCCGTGCACCACAGGCTAAGAGCGCTGGTGGCTGCACTGGCCCACTGAACCATGTGATCCTTGGTGTCAAGGCGCAAGCATCACATGTCGGGATTCCTGCCCTGTCCCCGCTGCCTCGTATCTTGCGAATGGCGCCTTGCAGGCCATCTTTGCCCGTGGAAGGGGGAGGGGCCGGGAGCCGGGCCCTTTTGAGCGATGGTTCGTCCGATTTAAGGAATACGCAGCCCAAGGGCCTTATGGACACGGATTTCTACATCATCCGGACGAACCATGCCCTGCCATAAAGGCCCGCCATGGCCAAAGCCGGCCAAAATGGCTGCGACCAGCTCTCTTGCTCAAGGATACTCCACGAGACTCTAGGGCTTCTGACAACGCTCTCTTAGGCTCGGACATCAGTTGGCAGCCTCAGTCATGGTTGCTTGTGCAATGGCTTCAGCCGCGCAGCTTCGTGAAATCTCTTTTAGACTCTTGAGCTGCATGACCTCCCCCAACGATCAGGACCACCGGCCGTGTCTGCCTGTAACGCGCCTAGATGCATGGCCCTGAAAGCCTTCAGAGGTCAACACCCAGGATCAGGCCCAGAGGCCTGAGGCTGTGGCGCCAGGAACTGCAAACCAAGACATGTCGCCAACGCAGCTGCGAGCAAGGATGATGCAGTACTGTCGTGACTGGGGCAGCCAGCTTGCGATTGTCGGGGCTTCGGGCAGGCTTGCATGCTCCAGCTCCGAAATGCATGGTCAGTGGACATGACTTCTCCACCTGAACTGAGTGACTGTCGAACGCGTTCGGTGCAGTGCCCGGCCCTGTGGCCAAAGTGTGGGTTGCTACAAACTGAAGATCAGAGCAGAATAAGCAAGTGAGCTTTACAAAGAAGTCCCAGTGAGAGACTACGCACAACAGCTGCAAGCCAGACTTGCGAGGAAGCAGGTGGTGTAGCTTTGACGTGAAACCTGGTGGTTGCCTTCCCTGTCCACGAGTACTATGGAGCATCCATGTCGTGCATCTCGGGCAGTATCCGGACGTTTTGTCGCAATCCAGTCGGGTATAGAGCCGGTGAGTGCTCGAACGCATCGAAGCATGTAAGCCTGCACACTCTGTTTAGGCAAGATTTCGCCTGTGAGATCCATCCAGGATAATTGAGCGACGATGTATGATTCTGAGGGATACGCGATGTACATGTACAGAATGGTCCCTTAGGGAGCCTTAAACCCTTAAATTCAAACACATTTGAACTTGAAGTCGAGTTTTCCGAGAGCCTCTGCCGAAGAGCCGAGGGCACTCACACCTGCGACGCCAAGAGAAAAACAACTACGCTGCCCGCAACAGCTGACATTGAGGAATCGGTTGAGATCCCGTCGGGCAAAGTGCTCGTGGCATTGCCTGGCCCCTGTGAACCATCCGCTGTGACTGAAGAGACCGTGGTGCTGGTCTCTCCTGCTGATGTTGTGGAGGTGCTTGTTGTCGGTGAGCCAGGCACGAACTTCGTCAGAAACATGTCGTGGTTGCCATCGGTAGGCCCATCCGAACCGGGTGCAACTGCACAGTTCGTATAGCCAGCGGCCATGAGAGAGCCGTTCCAATGAGGCTCCACCACCCATCCGAGCGACGTTCCGTCGTTGCACCCGGCCGAGAAGGTATATTCATGGGCTAAGTTTTCATCGAACTTCAACACTGCGAAGTGTGTCGGAACCGATTCGGATGTGGGATTAAAGCGAGCCGCTGCGAACCAACCTCCCGCAAACGCTGGCTTCAGGTCGTACCCACAGATCTCGCTTGCACCGCCCACCTGCGCCCCGGAGATCTCAGTTCCATCGAGATTGTACTTGATGAGGGCAACATCCCAGGTTGAGTTGGAGACCTCCGAGCCATAGAGCGTACTCTTCGTGTCACCAGAGCCAGCTGCCGTCGCTACCACGGAACTTCATCAGGAACATATCCTGCCACAGAGGGGCTCTGAAATCCTGCAGGTCCTTACAGTAAACGTGTGAGTGTAGAATCCCATGGAACCGTATTAAATCCTTGATGGAATCTACACTCCCCCAGCGCAAAAGCTGGACTCCCCGACCTCGCTTCCAACCAATGTCTGGCCGTCCAGATTACCACTGGTGTCCCCGGCAATGTACACGTCATTGCTGGTGTCAAGGTCCATTGCCCACGCGAACTCGTTTCCACTACTTCCTCTTTGGGCACGCCAAATCCGGTTTCCGTTCGAGGCATACATCACAACGAACATGTCGGCAGCTCCAGCAGTGACCGTGTTGTAAAGCCCTCCGTAGGTGTGGCCGGCCACCACCACATGTCCGATGTGGCTTGTCTTCACAACCCGTGGATAATCATTCATGCTGGATCCGAACTGCACAGTCCACGCCTCATTGCCCGAGATGTCAAAAGCCTTTATGAAACCGTCGGCCCAACCAGCATTCTCTTGCCCTGGCATGACGCCACGGGTGTTTCCTACGACGTAGATGCCGCTGTGCCTCACTGCAACACTCTCCGCATAGTCATCATCACCAGTGCCAAACTGACGGCTCCAGAGAAGGTTCCCTGAAGCATCAAGTTTTGCGAGGATTGCATCAATCATTCCGACAGCCGTAGAATTATCGAGGAAGGAGCCTGAGCCATACCTAGCATGTGGCAAGAAAAAGCATTCATTCATCTTTCAGCAAGCTGGAACAACTACTGTGCAGGGGCTTAAGTCTTCAAGCAAAGCGTCCCACAGACGAAGTAGTTTTCATCGTGGTCAGGAACCATGGAGCGTAGCCGAACCTCAGCCCCGGTAGCCGAATAGTACTTGGTCCATTCCTGCGTGATGTCCACGCTCTCAGTCAGGTGGAGGAATGCTGAAGTCGCCAGGAATGGCAACAGCATGGCTTGGGGACACGGACTATCAGCGAAAGATGCGAGCGCAACGGCTCCGGCAGAAAATGGCGTCGGCGTGCAGCGTGCAGATTTACAGCTCAGGCACCGCAATGTGCCTGTCTGAGGGGGGCATCCTGGAAACTTCAATTCGAAGGAAGTCTCCTCCTTTGCCTTCAATAAACCTCCGAGCAGGGGCCGCTCGCGACTATGCCACGGCCAGAGATGCAAAAGAGACTCCTGAGAGGCCCCATCCGTCCGTGCCATGAAACGCTTGCAAGGCCTTGCTCGGCAAGGGCATCTGCAGCAAGAAATGCGCTGAGAGCGTGCTTACATATCGTGGCACAAGAAGCTGTCTCTGTTTTACCCATCAACTGGCACGGTCCATTGCGAAATCTTGTGATCGCACATCTCGCATTGCTGTCACAGGAGATCCGGTAAATTATACAAGCTTACAAAATAGTGTACGGCAGCAAGTTGGCACTTCACAAATCGAGCACACATCATCAGTGCTCGTCCACTGCCTTCAAGCTTTACAAACGTAGAAAGGAGACAAGGTGAACACATCGCCATGTGTTCTCTGTCTTTATATTATATTATGTTATATTATATTATATTGTATTATATTATATTCTATTCTATTTTTTGGCTCCCACTTGATATTATATCATATTATATTATATTATATTATATTATATTATGTTACATTACATTACATTACATTACATTACATTATATTATATTATATTATATTATATTATATATATCTTGTTTTATAAATGTATATATGAGTTTGCACACATGCGTGTGTATTGCGTGGGGCACAACGTGCAGCAAAAATGGGTGCCATCATTCTTGCTGTTAAAACTTTTCAATCGACAGCCGCGGGCTTTCGTCGTCGAAGCTCAGAGACATGGCTGTGCCGTTATGAAAGCCCAATTGGAATGCCCACCACAAAATGCAAGAGACCAGAAGCTCCGCAGCCAAGAAAACCTTCTTCGTAAAGGAAGGCTCCGGAGCCTCAAGAGCATCGTGGCAACCCGACGCGTCGGCCAAGCAGGCCACCGTTTGTGACTCCCAAGCTACAGCACCCTGGCGCTGGAGCTGCGAGATCCAGTGTAGACGAGGCTGATAGAACCCTTTTCAAGCACAGTCGGAGAGTGGGTTGCCCCTCCGTGTGTCTCAAGCCGACATTACCGGGTCGAGGAGCGCCGCTGTGCTCAGGTGGACGAGGATGAGCCAACCTTCCCTCCTGTTCCCAGTGTCTGTGGCGTCGCCGCTTCGGCCATGCTCTTTGGGCTGCTATGCCGCTGGTGCTTCCAGTGAAGATAAAACCTTACCGACAGCAGGCCTGGCCACTGTACTTCTTGGTGGACCGCAGTCAGTGACGCAGTCGAGAGTCGCGAGCAGAGGTCATTTTCGCCGGTTGCGCCGGCTCCCGGGCAATGCTAATTGAACCAGGTGGGGTGGCTCGGCTGCTGCAGCCCACAAACCACGCCAGAGGATCATTCAGACCTGCAGCGGTGGTGTTGCGTGGGTGCGTGGGTGAGTGGGTGCGTGGGTGAGTGGGTTAGTGGGTGAGTGGGTGAGTGGGTGAGTGGGTGAGTGGGTGTGTGGGTGTGCGGGTGTGCGGGTGTGCGGGTGTGCGTGCGTGGGTGGGTGGGTGGGTGGGTGGGTGCGTGGGTGCGTGGGTGCGTGCGTGCGTGCGTGCGTGCCTGCATGCGTGGGTGCGTGCGTGCGTGGGTGGGTGCGTGCGTGCGTGCGTGGGTGGGTGGGTGGGTGGGTGCGTGGGTGCGTGGGTGCGTGGGTGCGTGGGTGCGTGGGTGCGTGCGTGCGTGCGTGCGTGCGTGCGTGCCTGCATGCGTGGGTGCGTGCGTGCGTGCGTGGGTGGGTGCGTGCGTGCGTGCGTGGGTGGGTGCCTCTTAGATTCGGTTAGGTTATTTCCTGACTATTATCCATATCCCAAAAAATAGACTAATAGTCAGAATAGAATAACCTATATCTCAGGAGATAGGTTATTTAAATAACCTAAGAGAAAAGGTTATTTGAAAGAATAGACTATGAGATCCAAAGGTTATTTGAAAGAATAAACTATGATATTTTGTTTTTTGTTAGCAGGAGCAGGCAAACTAAGTAGCATTTGTTGTGCGGAACTCTTTGTTTTTTTTCCAGAACCTAGGTAACATGTGCAGGATTGCTGGCATGTTTTGCAAGACCTAAGTAACATTTGCGACATCTAAGTAGCATGTCCCCTGTCAGGTTTTTATGATTTGTGTGCAGCATGGCAGACTTGAATGTTGTTCCGTTGCGGATTGCAGGCTGAAAACATAGCAAGAAGCACAGGTATGGTATGGTGCCAGAAGAATCTTGCGAGCAGACAATAGGAAAACTGTGTGTGGGCACATGTGGGTTTGAAACTCATGCGACTCATGTCTATGTAGAGATTTTCTAGAGCCCTGCTGCAGCATGGCGCAGTCAAAGTATGAAGCCACCCGAGTGAGAGTGGATCCGACGATAGGCGTCATTGATCTGCAAAAGGTTTTGAAGAAGCATGTGGACAATGCCCCAGACAAGGATATTTGGAATATTCTGAAGCATCCCACCGGTGCTCCCTTCTCTTGGAAGACGGCGGTATGTATTCCATGGATCGCTCAGGCAGCCTATCTCCTCGTAGATTTCCTCCAGGTAGCCCCGAACTGCGTCTTGCCTGCGGCGAAGCTTCGCACGAGTTTGAAGCGGTTGGTGGTTGATGGTACGGAGAAAACCAAGAAAGTGAACCGCACGAACTATGCTACAGATGATTTCGTGGACCAGATCGACAGCAGAATTCGCATCCTGCTAAGCCAAGTCCGGTGTTTGAAGAAGCAGGACGAGTACGTGAGAGCAGTGCGGACAGCCACGGAGTCGGAAAAGGCAAGGATCGACATGGTGTTGTCTCATGTGTTCTCCGAGAAGGAGAACACGGTTGGGGCAAGCTCCAGCGGCCAAGCGACTGGTCTGGAGATAGTTCCTTATAGGCCTCCAGAGATGCGGAGCGAGGGCATTTTTGGAAGAATCTTGGCGAAGCAGGATAGCAGCCCACGGCCCTTGAAGAAAGCTAGCCTGGTGATGGGGCCTGGAAGTCCCGTCAAGATTTGGAGGGGAGCCGCGAAGATCTGCAGTCCGAAAGCTTCTGCGAGGGCGGCTGAGGACCCCACGGTGTTCGGGAGGCCTTTGATGGTTGGAGATTTGGGAAGCAGCTCCAGCGAGGAGGGTGCTTCACAAGCTGCTGCCTCCAGCTCTAGCAGGCCGGTCAGGAAGGTGGCCCCAAAGGCAGAGGCTCTGGTGAAGCCTTTGGTGTCAGAAGCTGCCTCGTATGGCTTGGATGCTGGAGATCTGGACATCATGAAGCAGGCGCACCTCCACAGAGTGGCGAACAACAAGAAGTCTTTCAAGAAGCCGGCAGCGGCCGTGGGCAACAGTAAGAAGAAGCACGAGAGTGCTTCGAAGGCCGCGAGTGCTTCGAAGCCCGCCAAGCCCGCCAGTGCTTCGAAGCCCGCGAAGGGCGGTTACAAGTGCAGTTTCAAGAAACGAAAGACCTCCGCTGTCTACCACAAGGAGCACACACTGAGGCTCAGGTTGGGCGACTCCCCGGAGACTGCGAAGAAGAAGGCCAGAGCTGCCATGGCAGAGGTTGCATCCAAGATAGATGCCGGTATCATCACTGAGCATGGCTCCTAGATCTCAGCACAGTTTTCGCGGCACGAAGGCTGACGAGGTTCCAGCGAAAGCAAAATAAGGTCGGCATTGTTGCAGCTCTCGACTGTCTAAGTAGCATTGTTTGGCAGCGCTTTTTTTGGAAGGCTAAGTCACATCTGCATGTCTGCATGGCATCCAGGAAGAGTGGCGGCCTGCTAGGAAGCTTTGCTCAGCCGTGCCTTTTGTTCCTCTAGTACGGAGGCTCTATGCATGGTTAAATAGCACGAGTGTTGCAGTGAAGGTTTTTGCCATCGACCACAGATATTTTTTCTCAAGTCACAAGCATTGTTCCAGTTTGCCTGCAAACCGGTGAGCGAGAGCCATCTATGGCATTGTGTGCAAGCCTTTGCTGCGGCCAGTGCAACGAGGTATTCGTCGGATCGCATTCCAAGCGATGCAACAGGTCGCATCCAGAGATTATGGCCACTATCCGAGTTTGTGCCCGGCCAGGTTGCGAGCTCTTGTCAAAGGGCACAAGGAGATGGTGGGAGGCATGAAGCTGTGGCGGCCCAAGCTGCTTCTTGGCTTGGCTTGGTGGCAGGCTGTTCCAGTGCTGATTCCAAACGGCTGGCAGTAAGTTGCAGAATCACTGATTCTGCAACTTACTGCCAGCCGGTTGTGCTGCTCCTGGATCCAAACGGCTGGCAGTAAGTTGCAGAATCACTGATTCTGCAACTTACTGCCAGCCGGTTGTGCTGCTCCTGGATCCAAACGGCTGGCAGTAAGTTGCAGAATCACTGATTCTGCAACTTACTGCCAGCCGGTTGTGCTGCTCCTGGAGCCTGAGGCTGGTTCTGCATGCGGCTGCGAAGAATGGAGAAAGGCGAAAGGACCAAGCTGGCAGCAGATACAAGGGAGCCGATTCCGTTCTTGGATCAGATGGACTAGGGCTTTCTATATTGACCACATAGCCAGGCCGCGACCTCGCACGAGAAAAAAAGCCAGTCCAAGAAGACCCCAAACCCCAGAAGTGATTGATGTTTTCTACTCCAAAAAAAAACTTCCGCCAAACTTAGGACAAACAAACTAGGGCCTGAGACGTTAAATACCGATAGAATGTGTTTTGGTTTTCACCAGCGACCCCAAACCCCAGAAGTGACTGATGTTTTCTACTGAAAAGAAACCTTGGCAAAGCATGGGGAAAGAACAAGGGCCTGAGACGTTATAGGTACCGGTAGAATGTGTGTGGTTTTTTCAAAAGCACCGGAAACAAGGTAACATGTTTTTCACCGTGAAACGAGAGACTATGTAACATGCCTTTTCCCCCTCTAGGT